AGTGGACAAAATGCATGCTATTCGAAGTGAGCATGATGAAGGAATATGGGAAAACATACCAACCTAATAGGTTTGTGTTTGTGTATTATTTTTTGTTTTATTAGTTGTTTTGTTGCTATATTGTTATTATCTTTTTTAATTTATTTGTCTATTTAGTTAATTCGTTGTTTTAATAATGAGAATTTTATTTTTTCAAGGTTATGGCAGATTCGGGGTCTGGCAGTGTAAGGAAGGAAGGTAGATCTTTCACCCGATTGTCTGGGTTGACAACTGGACGCATTGCCAAGGAGAGGACACAGGTTGAGGTGGATCATTGTTCTAGCAAGGTGTCAGGCCCAAATGCTGCCAAGTTTAGGAGCTATTTGGGAGTCCTAGCTCGACATCATCTTTCTATTATCATTCCATCATGGGATGACGTTGAGGAGGAGGACAAGAACCTCATGTGGCAGGGTATTCAGGTATATACTTGCACATCCCTTCAATATTATATAACTTAAATACGTCATTTATTATTTGTTGTTTTTTTGATAGCAAAATTTTGACATTCCCAATACTGAGATCATGAGGAAGATGTTATCTTCCCTTGCCACCAGGTGGAGAGACTTCATGACTTTCTTGACACGAGAGTATGTATTTGGAGAGCGACAAAATGAGACTCTCTGTCTAAAGTACCAGATTACTAACGAGGAGTGGATGCAATTTCGTGCCAGTCGATTGAACCCTTGTTGGCAGGTTAGTTATTGATAATTCTTACATTGACACAAATACTTAAGGTATATTTTAATCTCATTTTCTTATTTGTATTATTGCAGGCCAAAAGAGTAGCTTCCCGAGAACGACAGAGCAAGAATGATGCACCACCCATCTATTGTCAAGAGAGGGATATGAATTAAAAAAAAAGAAACTAATGAAGGCTAGGGTAGAGGCATCAGGGGTTGAGTCTGCCGACCTTCTGGATCCACCTCCCTGCTATGAGATCTGGATAACAGCTCGAACAAAATCAGATGAGCAAATGACTTCTGAGTCTACAAGGGTCATTACTGATAAAATAGTAAGTAAAAATATACAAACTAATACTCTTAATTTCAACTCATTAAATTCATAAGTGTAGTTTAGCGTATACTTATTGTTAATACGTTGTAGGAGGGTTTAGTTGAGTAGACCACCCAGGGCTCATTTGTTCCCCATGGTCGGGATGATATACTCACAACGACCATAGGAAGGCTAGAGCACCCAGGGCGTGTGCGTGGTACTGGTGGTTCTTGGAGTCTTCGAGATTACTTTGGTGCACCACCATCGAGGAGCAATATTTTTTACTCTTGCAATCAAGAGGCTATGCAGAGAATGAAGATGTAGTTTAAAGAAAAATTGAATAACATTCAACAAGAGTTTGAACAGAAGTTTGAGCTTTTGGCTCGTTCTCAACAACAGACTATAGTTGCTAATGATGGTGTTCGAGTCAGCACTAAAGGGAGTTGTGCTGCTCCAGATCCCTCAGGGGAACAGACTCACACTGATGTACCAAACCAGTGTGAGTCATATGTTGAGGATGACCCCCAAAGGTTAGTGGCTATTGGTCGAGTATTTGAGGGTGGCTCAACCATCCATGGTGTCCCTCTAGAGCCAGACTAGACATGGGTTGTGATTGACCAAGTTCAATATGCTACTGCTCCAGTACCTTTGCCCAATACAGAGGTTCAACTAGTGGGGCAAGCAACCGCCAAAACGTTTGGTGATGCCGCTTTCAGCACGGGCAAAGGTAATTCTATTATTTCTCTTTTATATTCTTATAATTCTATTATTGTTTAACTAATTTTGATTATTTGTTTAGGATTTTATCAATCGTGGTAAGGAGGTCATGAGAGAACCTATTATTAATGATGCTGATATCGCAGAAGCTGAGGATGATCCCATATCTAGGATTCTAACCATATTACCACGATTGAAGAAGAAACCAATTCAATTGTAGTGGGACATTAGAGTTTTTGGAGTTGATAGCTTTAATGTTCCACTATACATATCCCTGCCCGGCGCATTAGAGATTGTTGGGGGAAACTCCATATTAAATATATCTATCATACAGCTGTGGGCCATGTAAGTGATATTTTCTTTTATGAGTCTAAAATTACAATAATTACATTTAACTTATAATAATTAATTATGTTAGGTACATGGACAAATTGAGTGTGGAGCAAGCACAAGCACAAATATATGGATTTATTGAGCCTCAAAAATCAGGAAACACTCAGGTCTAGATCCAACAATATATGCAAACATGGATGAGTGAATCAGGAAAACATATATACATGGCTCCATACATTGAAGGGTTAGTTTTTCAATTGGTTTTTTAATCATGGTAATTTTATAACTAATTTGTTTGTCATACAATGTAGGTCCCATTGGCAGTTAATTTTAATCATTCCTAACGGTGTGGTTTTGTTCACTACATCGAAAACCAACCCACGAAATGAAATGCCAATTACAAGGGTAACTATAATTTTTCATTATGTTTTAAAAATGTAACTATATATATTGGCTAACATCTGTTTTTATTTTAATTAATTAGAATCATGTCTGGAACTAATATTTTAAGTGGAAGAGCCAGATCAAAGACATTGCACTTCATATTCCCTAGTGTTAGCAAATTATTTAATAGAGACAATAATATTTGAATTTATCGACTTTGGAAATAATAGTTATTTGTTTTTCATTTTAGTGTGTAATAAGCAACTAAGACTCATTTGAATGTGGCTATTACATCATGTATTGGATGAGAACCATAGTTTCCGCGGGTGTTACTAATTCTTGGGGGCAGGTAGTTCATATCAAAATTTATTTTAAGTATATTTACCTTTATGATAATTAATATTGCATATTAATGACACTTAAATTAATGTTTCAGGTCTTTCAAGATCCATCTCCATTGCCCGAAGATGAAATCATCAAGATAAGAGAACAATGGGCATTTCTTCAAAGTATATAATAGTTAGATTTCTAAGTTTAGTTAGTTGAATATTATGTTTCTAGTTTGATAGCATTGACAAACATATGTTCTATAGCTTTTTTAGGATAATAGGATTTACATTGTCATAATTTATGCTTTTTAAGATTTATATATTATTTTGTACAATTTCTATTAATAATTCTTCAACTTTCAAATGTTTACAATGAATTCATCTGAAGCATTAAGAAATTTGCTTCCACGCCTCTAACATGTGATAAATAACCTTTTAAACTCTTAGATTATAAATTATAGGTCTAACACTCAACCATACACAATCAACTTGTAAGGTAAGTGTCAACTTGTAAGGTAAGTGTTGTCCCAACTTATGTACTTTTTAATTATTTTATTTCTAATCGATGTGGGACTTGAGGAAAATTTTTTAATTCTTAAACTTATAAATAAATAAATAAATATATATATATATATATATATATATTATTTTTCCTACGGATTACAATTGGTAGGAAAATTTGTAAGAAAAGTTACCTGCAAAATTTTTCTACCATTTAGTAAACATTACTTGCGAATTTATTTTTAGGAGAAAATCCGCAAGAAACAAGATAAAATTCTTACAACATTTCTACAAATTTTTACCATGAAAAGAAATTTCTATGATCATTAAAATCATAGCAAAATTTGCAACAAAAAAAAAAACTTATAGCTCATTTTTCATAAAAAAAAATTGTAAAAAAATTTTGTAAATTATTTTTTGCAAATAAATTTGTGATAAAAAAATTGTAAAATTATTATTGCAAGAAAATTTGCATAAAAAATTTATGAGTATTTTTTTTGTAGAAATATTTGCACGAAAATGAAACTTTTCTAGTAGTATTTCATTTTCACATATATCACATGTATACTTTAATCATGTAGAATCACTACAATAGTGACAAACTTATCACTTTAAATATTTCGTAGTTGTATACGTGTTAGAAAAATTAGTGAAATCAATCTCTAGCATATTTTATTATATATTTTTAGTAATTATCTTTTCAATCTAAATCCATGGGAGAATTGGTTTTGCATACCAATATTGTGGTATCTTGGAGTTAGACAATGAGCTTATACAAGTTGTTCTATCTCGATGGTGAATTCAATGTTTATGTCGATGATATCTTGTGATGTCTTGGGGTTAGGCAATGAGCTTTTACTAGTATGCTCTTTACAAGTGGTGCAAGCCTTGTCGAATGAGCATTTTGGAATAACAGAAGTTTCAAAAAACTTCTCCAAATGCGGTGTAGGAAATGACACAAGGACAATATTTTTCATAGTGACCATCCGAAAAAGAGAGAAGGGAGAGTTTCCCATAAATAATACCAATGTTTAAGTGGTGAACTTGAAGCTAACCAAAGACTAGAGACCCTAGTACGTAGAACAAATTAGGATGAAGGGAGAATACAATGGTAGCCACCAACAAGCACTCCAACGCTCATGTTGTTCTTGTTGTAAAATTAGTGCAAGAAATCTTCAGTTGAAAGTCCTCTATCCTTGGCTTCTCAATCCTTGGCTTCCGGATGTCAAGTGGTTATTAGTACTTACAAAAGAAATTCAGATGCCTAAGTTAACAAGTATTTGGGGTGATTAAGTGTATAGTATGTTAACTACCTTATAAAAGTCTAATGTAAGTATAATTATAGATAAAGAAATGTACCATTGAGAATCTGATCATGATACGTATTCAAGAACTTTTATTTTCTTGTAACGGTTGAACATCACTCTTTGCAATAATTGTGGCGAGAGTGTAACCTTGACTGAGTTATTCTCGACAAGTCAGATCTCCAAGCACCTAACACTTGGAACTAATATGTTATCGACCTTAAGACCTCTATACTACACATGTTTAGGTAAATTATTTTTGAAATAATTAAATCCTCCCTATATATATATATGTTTTATTTTTAATAAAAACAAAACAGTGTATTATTTCGAATCGCCCAGTTTATATTAGTTGGTCCGAGACTCTTGTTTTATTATTATGCATTTGTAACAAAGAAAATATATGTAAATACTATCTTCATTACTCATGTCAAAAACAAACATAGATAGAGAGTCTTGAGGTAACCAACTATAAGTTGGAAACAAAAGCTACATATACTGTAGCACTGTTTTATTTGAAGTAGTAGATGATGCATCTATTTATTTAGTATATAGTATTAGTGATGCATCATGTATGCCACTTTTCATTTGGCATACCACATCACTTGGGGAGTGTCGTAGGCATTTTCAAGAACCCATTTAGTGCTTTAGAATTTGAATCGAAACACCATCCATAATCCATGTAATCATTAGGATAACGAGCACAAAAGTCTCCACTTCCTTTCTTCAAACACTCTTCATTAGATTGACATAAGTTGGGATGTTGGTTGATCATGTTTGCAACAGATGTTACTCCACCAGTTGGATATATGCACGAACCAACAAATAGTCCCCAAGGGATACATCTACAATCAGTTGACCCGCACGGTGGCATCTCAAAAGGTGAACAAGCGCCATTACACACTACTGCTTCTATCTCTTTCATTGGGAACACTACTAAAAATCATATATATGCCAAAGTTAGAACAAATAATGCACAGTAATTGGAAATCATGGATAAGAAATAAAAAAAGAATAAAATGGTGCATACATGAAGTGGCAAGCAAGAAGAGAGCCAACGGAGCAAGCCTAACATAAGCCATTGTTTGAAATTAGGAACCAACTAGAGATGTGTTGTGCATTAGCTCTTTCTTGCATGCACCAATTTATAGGCACTGTTTGGATCAAGTACCCAGTAAGGTTGTCATCGTGGAGCATTATGTGCAAGCCACGCCAATTTTTACATGCAAATGTGTAAATGACTTTATATAACAAAGGGTTTTTGTTGGGGAAAATATCCACCAGGCCAGTACAAATACATGTAAATAACAACGCCATCTCTAGTAATCCTTTTAATTTGCATTGCAACAGAGTGGAGAATGTGAAGCACGGAGAGACTAAGCATATTTTTTTTTTTTCATTACGGAACATCTTGTGTCGAATACTGGAACAATCTCTCTTAAAAATTTAAGGCTTAATTATATTGCACTTTTAGTCCTCTTAATTTAGTGTAGTAGTAATTTTGGTCTTCATAATTTGAATTATTTAATTTTAGTTCATAAATTTAAATAACGGGAATTTTAGTCCTACAAATAATTTACTATCCAAAATTTAACAAAAGTTAATGATGTGAATTTTATGCTAAATAAACATTAATTATATATCATTTAATTTCTTACGTGTCAAATTATTTAATATTCAAATTTTAAAAATTTTAAATTCAAATAACATTGAAAACAAAATGAAAAGGGTATTGATATTAATCGCAATGAGAATTTTTCACTAAAATAGAACTTTTTTAATTTTTTTTTTGCGTTTTGGATCTGAGCATGATGTAAAACTGGATCCAGAACGGCCCGTTCTCCATGCAGCACTTGCAGTTTCAATTTCAAAATTAACAGACTACACGTGCAAGCAGAACGGCCCGTTCTACTTCGAGAACGGGTCGTTCCAGTTGCAACATTAACACACAACCTGAACTACAAACAGAAAAGAAAAAAAAATTAAACACTACTTAGAATTCGATTTCCCGGGAACCAAATTCTGAGCAAAAAACAAAACAAAAAAAAAATTGAAGTTCAGAATTCGATTCCCTGGGAACCTAATTCTGAGTGTGAACAATAAAAGGTGCTACTTCTGTAAATAAATTGGAACAGGTATTGTTTTGGTAAAAAAAAATTTAAAAACAATTTATTTCAGTAAAAAATTCTCGCAGTGATTGTTGGAAAGAGATGATACTGGTGGCGATCGTGGCGATGGTGCTGGAGGAGTACACGACGTTGCTGGCGAGGGTGCTAGTGAAGAAACAAGGGGAAGGGTACGGAGGGTGCTAGTGAAGAAACAAAGGGAAGGGTACGGAGGATAGAAAACGAATTTGAATTTAAAATTTTTAAAATTTGAATATTAAATAATTTGACATGTAAGAAATTAAATAATATAGAATTAATGTTTATTTAACATAAAATCCATATCATTAACGTCTGTTAAATTTTGGATGATAAATTGTTTGTGGGATTAAAATTGTCCATTATTTGAATTTATGGATCAAAATTAAGCAATTTAAATTATGAGGACTAAAATTACTCCTACACTAAATTAGGAGGACCAAGAGTGTAATTAAGCCAAAATTTAATAAATACTAAATAAATTAGCATTTCCTTTAAACTTAAATTTTTTACGTTCCTAAAAATTAAGATTCAAATTCTAATCACTTAATTAATTAAATGACATAAGTCTCTCGTTACTCATATTAATCCAAGTTGGTGAAAATAATGATGGGGTTATTTTTATAGTATTTGTCTGGGAGATATTTCATGAAGGTTATTATTACATTAAGCCTTCACGATTTTACTTTTGGTCATCACCCAAAAGACCTCTCGATCATTGAAGTATTTTTGTGTTATATAAATTGTTATTTCTTGTATTATTTTATCGATGTGTCCCAACAAATAAACATATATGAATTAATTATTTCTATATTGTACTATTTAGATTTTAATTGTAAGCCTTCTCAATCATAGATTTTTAAGTTCAATACTATTGTTTTTATTAAATGTTTTGTATTAGGCATAGGAAATCAGAATTGTTGGATTTTTTCTATTCTTATCTCTAGAGGACCACTGCATCTTTCTGTTTCTTGCATCTATATATATTATTAATATTTTAAAATAATCCTCGAATGTAATGCCCTGCTCTATTTCGAATAAGCCAGCTTGCACCGATGAGGTGATCATGACAGTGTCAGTAATTTTTATCATAACTGAAATATAATTCTTTATCCTTTCAATTATTTTTCCATGTTACCCATGATACTCAGCTGCTTATAGAGCCATGTTATGCATTCAAAATTGTCACTGCGAGGGACTCATGGGAGATATATATAGATGTGGACGAACTTCAAAAAAAGGTTGTCGGTAATTTATATGCATATCTACTGTTAATTACTTTTTATATATTTTAAAAACTAAATTAATATGGAGTATAATACTATATATAGAACAGTGTAGTTGATACTCTTCTTTTGTTGTCAAATATATTTTACCTATATTTTAAACTTTTATACATAATAATATTATTAATTTAAATATTATCATAGTATGTGGAAATATGATATATACTTCCGGTAGAAACCTTGTTAACTAGTCATTGTAAGTGATACTCTCCTACAGTCACCCTAGTTGTAGTTAAGCCTATTTCACTTATTTTAAACTAATGTAGTAATATTAAAAATATCATTTGAAATATTGTTATATATCTTAATTAAGTACTCCCCATAACTAAATAAGGTGAATTAATTGAGTTATATTTAAAAACATTTTACACTTCAAAAACTTTAATCTTGAAGGTTATTATTGGAAAGATACCAAGAAATTAGTTCACCAAATTAATTTGAATTAATAAAAATAGAGATGAATAAAATAGTTTGCAAAAATAAATTGAATATAATAAATCAAATTTTATAGGATCCAATTCAAAATATTATGGTTTAATAGTTAATCACAAATACAAGAAAAGAGTTTAGAGAAATTGTACAAACAACTTATTTTAGTTCGGTCCAAATTAACCTACATTTATCTTCAAATTTTTCTTTAACTAAAGCTTATAGTAGAACAAAACATTTTACTCTCGAAGACCCTATATTGATAACTCAACCCAAGACGCTCCTCATCTTATCATTAGGGGTGAACAGAAAATCTGAACCCACCCAAATCTGACATATTCGAGCAAAAAAATGGGTACAGTGGTCGACAATGATTTTAGATTTTCAGGTTTTATATTACTGTTTTATTTGAATTAATTCAATCAGGTTCGGATTTGAGATTCTCAAACTATGTGTATTCGACGCAACCGATTATTTTAACAGCTTCAGCTTTAGGGTTTAGAGTTGACCAGGATTTAGGATTTATGTTTATATTCATGCTACCAATTAGTATCCAAATAATTATGTATGTTTAGGCAAAACTGATACATTAAAATAGTAATAAACTTGGTAGTCGGTTCTGAAAATGTGTGCACCCTTTTTTATCTTTGCTAGCGGTGCATGCAGTATTTTTAGTTTTAGTTTTAGCAAATAAGCTTGATTTAACCAACATGCAAGGAAGGAAAATAGCTTATATATGATTATTGTGGCATTTGAGGTTTGCAAGCAACTAATCTAAGTGTCTTGTTTATGACTATAATATGATGAAGATATTTATGCACGTTGGAATATTATTGTTAATAATAATACTTTTATCATAGTTTATTTATGACTATAACATGATGAAAATCAAAACTGGCATCAGATACTCATAGAGAGAAATTGTTTTATGAATTTGTTTGACACTGTGATATGGTAGAATTAAGGATACATTTAATGTTCAATTAGATTTGACAAAAATTTGCAATCAGAAGGAGCTAGAATTAAAAGATGTTGGTTGTGACAAACTTATGAAATCAAAGGCAACATATGTATTGACAAAATCCTAAAGAATTGTTATTTATAACTGAGCTAAAGAACTTGAGTTGTCAGATGGATATGCTTATAATTAGTTGTGGTTTTGAATACTTGTTTTGCTTTTTACTATTAGTAATATGTCATATACTTTTATTTTGGATGTTTTATATTAGTTGTGATTTAGAAGAATTTATTTGATTCTTACTATTAGTTATTAGTTATATGTCATTTTTATTTTGAATTCTTTTTATTAGTTGTAATTTTGAAGATTATATCATACATTATATATGCTAATTACTTTTATTATGATATTAGTACTATGTTTGCATTATCAATTTTAATGTTATTGTTTATGACTGTTAAACAAGTTCAAAATGGAAATTAAAATATTTGGTACTATGTTGGAGACTACATTTTAAGGTTAGTTTCAAGAAGCAATAACTTTAATATTTGGTAGTAAATTTGACTGTGTTTCCAGCTTGGAAAGCAATGTTTAGAATAGAAACTCATACAACTTAAAATTCGATATTACTAAATTTTCTCCATTTTTTATTTTCATTTTCTTGGTCTGTGTCTCTCACCTCTTTGTCATTGTTGTTTCTACCTCTTGATTGTCATTGTTTTTACTCTGGACTTCACAATCGACTTCTCTTGCTCTCACGATAGCTCTCTCTCGTTTTCATCGTTGCTATATATCCATTACTTTTATTTTTACTGATTTTTATCATTCTAACCTAAATACCCAAATCTTTTAGCAAAAATCTCACCAGTGAACTCAATTTTTTAATTTAGGACAATTACAATTATAATCAATTAAATTTCTTTGAAAGGACTTCAAATCCACAAGGAAAATTAAGTAAATGGGTTAAAATTAGTCTAAGGTTTTTGACTAATTATTTTAACTAAAACTTTTTATAGTCAAATGAATTGCTTCCTACATAAAGGAATTGATTCTAACAACATAAAACATTGTCTTTAAATGGAATTGATTCTTAAGCATAAACTTATTTGAAGTAATCGATTTCTTTTCCAAGGAATTGATTCCCACGAGAAGAGGAATTGGTATCACTACATGAATGTAGTAATTTAACTTTCTTTTTGGATTTGTGAAATTCAAGAGTCGGTTTTCCTGATGATTTATGAGTGTTAGTGATCACTTAGGTTTATGACAAGAACTTTATTGTGGTAATGATGGGTAATTAAAGCGATAAGCAGGACTGATCATTAGTCGGGTTTGGATGGATTTAGGTGCAAATTAGTCAATTC